TGTATACTGCATGGCGTTCTACATACGTGCAATAACAATATTTTTTTTAAAAATATAACTGCATTGTTTACATTTATTACATTTATATATAGTATTAGTTAAACGCCATAACTCATAAGAGACGAGGTTATTTTTACATTTTTTGTGAAGGAACATTTACCGAATTAATTTGTACATGAAATGCATTGTATGGTTCATATTATTATGCATGGTACAGAATAAATTGAAACTAAAAAATATAATATAATACCATCGTATAAAAATATAAAAGGTTATGTTGAAAATAAATATAATGCATTCAGGCATTCAGTGGTGGTCAATATAGATTGTAATTATACAATAGTTATTTGCAGTAACTTAGCCAAAATATTTCATCCCTATTGGCTTTTTGTAAACTGAAAATATTATTAATTATCTAATACACAAAAATAAATCCACATTTTTAATATTCTAAATTTGATGTGATATTTGTTTGATTAAATAATAATAAGAACTCAACTAGCCGGCTGTTACGATGGCCCAATGTGTTTTCCATCTTGTATTGTACAGTTGTAACCTCATCGACTTCCCAACTTGATTTATCTACTTCAAATAATTAGTTAATTCAATCACCCACTGCCAGTTTTCGTCTTCTCCACAGAAACACATAGCACATAACACACTATTTACCAAACTTTTGCTCTATAAATTATACTTATCACATGTTTTTAGAGTTATCCATACTTGAAATTAAGACAGATTCCGATCAAAATGTTTACATAATAAACTGACTGAAAATAATATGTGTTATAGTTAATATGTACCTATTTCATATAATTAATGTACATAATTCTATTATGTTCTTAATTTTTCAATCATACTATGTTTATATAGTATAATGTGAAATAAACTTGTTTTTTTTCTGGAATCAAATAAACTAAAATTCAATACTCTAAATTAATTATATGACCAGTTGGTATTCCCATGACCCTAAGTTACGTTATGCAATAATACAATTTATTGTTTTCAGCCTTATTAAATTTGTATACATTACATATTATGTCGATGTTATCGAATAATTCAGTCAGGTTATTTTCGTTGGTTAAATAATCCAAATTTAGACCCAATGTCCCAATCTAAATTAAATATTCTAAAATAAATATATTATATGAGAAAATATGTGTTTATCGTCACATATTTGCTATTGTTTTAAATTACTCTAGGATGGTATTTAATAACAGTACATTTTACTCGAGACTACATTGAGATGGGTTTTTATTTATTTAAAAATTAATGAAAATCAAAGGTTTATCACCCGGTTTGAAAAATAAATAACGTCCTGAGAGCTTAGCAATAAACATTATTATTATTGTTATGTACACATATTATTTACAATACCCTTTATAATTGGGTGATTTTATGTTTCTAAAAATAGTTTACTTTACTGTCTATTTTCATCCTTTTTTTTAGAACTTCTACTTTCAAATTCATTTTAGTTGTTCAAAAAGAATATTATTAAGGATTGGTTGAAGCTTTTTATTAACCAAGTAAAACAATTACAACTTAAACATTTAAGAAATAGTACGTAATTAATGATGATATAATGAAAAACGTTTTAATTATTGTATCTTCTACCTTTTTAGTCTCAAATAATAATTATAGATAAAATAGTGATCGTTAAAAATAAATGCTTTGCTCAGAATTTTATAAGAACTGATATTTTTTAGACAGATGTTTTTGGTTTTTAATTTTTTATTGGAAAAAATATTGTTCTATCAGTTTTTTTCTTCCTTGTGAAAAAAATAAAAATGGTTTTATTTTAGTGTTGCTAAATTTTTTACATTCATCTAATACCTACAACTTAACAGTGGCGAAAATTGGTACATTTTATCTCGATGTTATAAATTTTCACTGCAAGTATATATTTTAATATCCATATATTGTAAAATAACAAATTCCATGAAGTAACTTCTCTGTTTTTTTTTTTTTTGGACATAAGAGACATTCGTAGTTAAGTACTTCCATTTTCCTGGTATTTTATATAATATATATAAAAACATTGATTCACACAGCCAGATAGTAGTTCAAACTCCAATTCTTATAATATGGTTTATTGGTTTATGGCGTAGTGTAATTCAAAATGTCACCGAAATCAATTTTATAATAATAATAACTGTTCGGGGAATTCCACGCTGTTCCACTTTTCCAATTTAGGCAGTAAATATAGATTAATTCAATTTTAAAAATATTATAAATACATTTCATTTCACAGAAATTATGGTAGGTAATTTTTATATTTTTTGTATTACGTAAGTATTCATATTTCAATTTAATGTCAAAATTGTAATGAGTCGTTTTGTTCAGATTTCCATTTTGTCCATTTTGTCAAATAGAATAAACATTATTATTTCTGAATTCAATGAATTTCTTTAATATTGAAATATAATGTTGTATGTATTATTCAAATATGGTTAATGATATGTATATTTTAAATATTATGCTTATTTGTAAATTGTCTATTATAATATTTAATTACACTTTACAATTTGAACATTATAGTATTAATGTAATTTTTAGTTTTATTGTATGCCTTTTATTGTTACAGAAATATTTTTCTACAATAGTATATGCGATTTGTTTTCTGAAAAATTAGGTAAAATTTAACGTTATACCTATTACTAATAGAAAAATAAATTACTCATCAATATAAGTGTATGATATCCTATAATATCCTTAGAACAATATTGTTATAGGCTGACAGACCATCTCCGCTTAGAAAAGCTTTTTGTATGCAATCATAATATAACCCATCAATTACAGTGACCTACTCAATAGCGATGAACACTTGACAGTTGACACCTACAACTTACTATTATAGTTTAATACAGCAAAGATATTTCCTTCTTTTATTTATGCATTTTAATAATAATAATTACATAACAATAACACGGCGTCTTGTATAGGCAATATAGCTACACCACTGTCGTATTTCAACTTTTCGATAATATTTCATGATAATTAAATACTAAACAATATTATACAGTATAATATTAATTAAATACGATACTAATTCAAAGAAATTAAAAGCAAAAATATTTGCAAAAATAATAAGTTTTTTTAAGTTTAAAATGAATTTTTGACAAAATATAAAATAGTTAAATTTTAAACTTATAATATTATGTGTTTATGTCTAACTCAAGAGGTATGAGTATTTTATTTTGAAATTTGTAATACATTGATCAAATTAATTTTATCAAAGATAATTTAAAAAGATTTCTTTACGGAGATCTAATGGGGGAATACATTAGTGGAAATAGGATTATTACAATATCCATTGCCATTTTTTAAACAAGTTAAGTGCTAGAGGTACACTTTTATTGGCTAGCTTGCACTCCAGATTTAATTCCAGTAGCAATTATTGAAGCTCGGTTATACTAAAGTACTAGATACAATTTATTTGAATAATAATTGTCTATTGATATGTACGATGTAATTCTAATCGAATTAAAGATACAATTTTGGTAACATAATTAACTTATTATACAATCATTATATTAGTTTAAAATGTTAAGTTTTGATGATATTAAACAGTAATGTCTTTGGACACAAACGAACCATATGTGTTGATCATAATATTGTGCCCTAATTCTAGGTACCTAATATAAGAGTCAATTAAGATATATACATATTACATTTTTTTCCAACTAAAATTAGCGCACTCAGGTTATTGTTACGATTAGTGTAACGTTTATTTGTCGTCCATAATGATAAACATAAAACCCAAGTATGCACTTAAGTACCAGGTCTAAAACCCCTTAAATTCATTTCACTATCACTTGCAGGTTACAAAATTGACATGGATTATCTGGGTTTTTATTTTATTTCCTAATGATCATTATTTTGTTTAATACAGTAATTCTTTTTTTTTTTTAATTGTTCATTATTTATTTGTATTAGAACAGTATTAAAAATAATATTTTTCTTAAGCATATTACCATATAAATTTTATCTAATTAAACTGTATCTATAAAAATACTATATTATCTATTATTCGTTTGGCTAATTATTTTATATTCTAATTGTTAGTTCTTACTAAATTGGTTGCAATTATATAACTTATACCATTATGAATTTTGTGAAGTTTAAGTTATTAGGATTGAAACATATTTTCAATTGAAAGTAAAATATGATTAGTTTTATTAAAAATTATATTATATTATATTACATCTTATTGTTTTACGATTTGTATCTTGACCTACATGATTTTTATTATATAAACTTTAATTTAATTCTGTGAATCAATGGTCCATCACATGATACAATATTATCATTATACAGGTATTTAAAAGTTCTTGGTTACATCTACAGACCTCTGTAACAACACAAGTTTGCTTAACTATTAGTTCAGGAGCAATAATTGAGAAATCGACCAAACTTTCCACCAAAATGACATTTTAGTGTATACGATATTATGTTGAATCGTACATGCATTAAATAATAATAATATTATAAATACATTTTTAATATTACAATATATGTATTATAAATCGAAAAATCATTAAATATATGTATTTTATCATTTAATCTAAATTAAGAATTTTGTATTGTCTGTGTTTGTATATGACTTATTTGAGTGATTATAAAATTATATCAACGCTTTAACAACAAAATAAAATAACATTAGAATAGATTGTCTACTAGTATAGCTGTTTTAAAATTACTCATTAATAACATCATAAATTAAGCTAATAATAACGGCAATAATACATTTGAATACGAAACGAAATACCTTTCAAACTATTTAGTTTTTTTTTACTAGTTTTTGATCACTAAAGAAATAACTTTATAGTATTTATATTGACACGGAGCAAGACTAGTCAGCTACTTTAATTTTACTATACATATATGAAATCGTAAGGACTTTGGTGTGGTACCGAACCGTACCGACATTGTACGACGAGCGCCCGGCCGGCTTTTGGCGGCATTTACCGTGGACGTTAGCAAAAGCGACGTCAGTGCGCATCCGGGATATTATCCGTACGCCTCGTGTGCTGCCCCAATTTTCGAACATTGCGGTTTGTTTATCTTTACGTCCGAATCTTAATCAAAAGTCCATAAAAAGTATTTTGTTATTGAAATCAAATATAATTGTCGAGATCGTGATTAAATTCGTCTGTGTCTATATTCGTTCGCGTGGTTTGGTTCGGAAGTTTATATTTATATATAGTATATAAGATAAAATTAATTATATATATATATAATATAGACACATAGTATATAATATCATACGTCTTATGTACAATTAATAATTTTAAAAGTGTACATGATGTACGACAAATCACATATAGTGCTACTCGAGGATTAATACAGTTCCAGATACGTGATACAGGTGAGTGCAATAAAAAACAACTTACGATTAGTGGCATTAAAAAAAAAACGTTGCGATTTTTGTAATAATGTAATACTTCTTACAATATTACGCTGATTATATTAACGATGTAAATACGTCTTGACGTTGGCACAATGTTGTCAAGCTTAGGTGCAAATAGATCTTAAATTTTGGTGTGACTGAAATCACGTAATGCTCAATGAATATTTAAATTTAGTTTAAAAATTGCAATGACCATTATTAAATGTATCATAAAACTCATACCAATGTGATTTTTGAATTATGAATGCATTATACAAAAAACTCTGCAACTTGTCACATTGTTGAATGATAAAAAAATTCAAGGCTGGACATTAACGAGATAGAAAGTTCTGTATATTTATTTGGAAACAAATTCTAACTTAACGATTTAAAATGGAATACCATTATATGCAATTACTAATCAGTTAACTAATTTTATAGTCAAGTTAAGTTAAAGTTTTTCCTAGTATAAATTACAATAGCGTCAAATATATTTTGTTTTATTTACAAATTATTATTAGTTATATTTATGTAGGTAATATTTATAATATATTTATTATGTGTATAATGAATTATATGTTGTTGGCTGCCGAAGTGTTCAATGACCTATTTCTAGATTTCATAGGGATAAAAATACAGTTTTATAGTCTCAAATAAACACATTCATTTTAAAGTTCAAACCTTCTAACATTAGCACTGCCAAATAAGTTAGTTCAACGCCTAAAGATACATTTCTTACCGTGATCTCATAAAAAATTAACTTCACAAAAATGTATCTAAATAATTTATAACAGATCTTAGCTGTTCATTTTATTTTAAGTTCCATGGCCACCCCTCTGTTATTTTGTGTTGTCAATATCATTCTTATATGAATTATTTGTCTACATATTTTTGTTTTTGTTTTTGTGAGTATAATTTTATCAGATTTACTTAATTTGTTGTAGCGTTTATTGAAATACTAAATATTTGGTTAAAAAATTAACGTAACTGATTTTTAACTAAGCTTAGTTACTTAAAACATAAAATTGAACCTGCATTTTTCTTAAAAATTTAAAAATATTAGTTAACTTACACAGGCATGTACACATTTAATAAAACTGCAACGACATAACAATATATTGTATTACACATTTTATCACAAGATATACCAAATATAATTTTGCCACAACAAATGTCTACGACTAATATTAGATAAATAACTGTCATTAATTTGTCATTAGACATTATATTATCACCCGTCGTTTTTCTAAAGGTTAAAGTTCCTATTACGTAGGTAATGGGTAACTAATAATCACAAACAATTTATCTTTCTGATAAAGACGTCAAATAAAAAAAAAGACCTACATAAAGAAGAAAACCACTTTTTTATCACATTATTTTTGACGTTTTAGAACTGAAGGTGTTGGATCACTTACAATCACCCCATCCCCTAACCCTTAGATGCACCTATGTCTAATTATAAACTAATTTAAATATAGGTTTTAAAATAACTTTTTAGATACAGAAACATATCAAATCTTCGAGTTGAACATTATATGAATAAAACAATAATAAGTTATCTAAAAAAAATAATGTAATTCATTCATCTTATATATTTTATGCATTCGAGTAGGGTATAAATACCAGGTGTTTGTAAACTCATCTCAATTTGCTCACTTCAATGCAGACAAATAGTATGTTTTGTTATTTTATTTTATTTGAAAAAAAAAACATAAACTATATGTTATCCTGTGATACTGAGCAGAAGACGGTTACGTTAGATTACGTACACTTAAATATCTTCATTCGATAGGTAAACCTATTTGTACTTTTTTTCCTAGCCTAACGATTAGAGATAATCTTAAAAATCAAAAAAGAACCTGTTCAAAGTACAAAACTACAAACAATATTCGATTTGAGGAAAATATACATGGCTACTTAATAAAAGATATTTTGAAGAATCTTTTTTGCCTAAAATATGTGTAAAAAAATAAAGACTAAAATAATTAATAGCACTTATAAAAATATTATTGTACCTACAAGGCTACAACCAATCATTGATTTAAGCTTTCAAAATCATTCAAAGTCATTATTTAATTTAATTTAAATGTTATAATACTTTTGTTAGTGTGGTTCAATATAAGTAAACAATTGATTTGTTTGTCATGTATAGTGACATTTCTAAAGAGTTGATTTTTAAAATAAATTGTTTTATACTTCATCCAACAACTAAGCACTTATCAAAAAATATATTTTATTAAATAATAATTAGACGTAGTACAGAGTGGACACTACCATTTATATTTGTATATACAAACTGGCTACCCAGTAAACTTCTTGAACTCTTATATTCAATATTTAGGATTGATACATTTTGGAACTTTTAGAATAATCAAAGACAGTAATATGGTCAGATACAAATATTTTAGAGACAATATTTTCACTAGAATAATAAAAGACGTTATCATGTTCATTTTTTATCAACGTTTGAAATTCAAAATTTATTTATTTTGTTATAATTCTTGACAACTTAATACATGCCCGTAGTTTTAAACTTACATTATTTATACATAATTAAATTTTCAACATGTTTTGGTAATTTTTAAGCAAATCATAAAAATTGAAATCATTCAAATTTTTTGAAAATTGTATCTTGAGTTAAAAAATTTTAAAATGTAATACAAAGTTTTTCGTAAGTTGTTCTTAATGAAACCAAAAAAAATCAAAAATAAAATTACACAATATGTTTACAGACCATTTCAAATGTAAATTTTAAAAATTGGTTAGCTATTCAAACAAAAAAATATCGATCCTTACTTACTTTGTTGTGATCTTAATATATAATTCATATTAATTTGAAAATTTTGACTATAATAAAATTATGGATACTCTTATTCTCTATACACAGTACACAGTAAAATTTCCAAAATATTTAAATTAATTTTAACCTATTAATATCACGAAGCTATTATCACCTGCCTACGGTAGGTTGTTATTGACTTATAATTAAAAAAAGCTAACAATACAATAATTATCTGAGTAATATTAATAATTATGTATTATAAAATGTGATTTGTTTATGACAACAAATGGTTCAATCTACCATGTTACTAATAGAAAAATAAATAACTTATGAGAATATTTTTATATTATAAAATATATTCAGACACAAAGGCTGACAGACCATCTCCGCTCAGAATAGTTTTTTTGCATGCAATGATTTATCAATGAATTCAAATTAAACACATTAATATTACAGTGACGAGGTAGATTTGAAACCCAAAATAGAGCTGAGCGACTTCCCTGTTTTTTTTTACCAACCTTTTTTCTATAAATGTTTAACAATGTAGGTTTTTTGAAAATGTTTATGCATCTAAATCGAAATACGCACAAGTAGTTTCTGTGTTATTAAACTTTATACTACACTAAGGACAACAATCCTTAATAATCGTTTTACATCAATTATAAAAAGGAGGTAATATTTAGCCTGGTATATATTATATTATAGACATTATTTACAAATTAAAATTGTTCATTGAATAAAAATATTTATTACTATAGTTAAATCATTATTAACCTCATATCTCTAAACCGTATGTACTTATCTTAGTAGGTACGTTACTTAAAATAATTTAAAATCCTTATGTCCTAATTATTTAAATTTATATAAATCGAAATTGTATTAAGAACCATCTGCTTGACAATTTACAAAGGAAATGGTTGGAAGCATTCGACAACAAAGTTTTTATTATCACAGGACACTCTATAAATAGTATAAAAAATGTATGTAATGTAAATATGGCATTAAAGTATAAAACAAAAAATTCCAAAATCAGATTTTTAATATTATCTTTATTAAAAGAAAAATGGGAGTATGTGCGTCTGGTTTATATATTTATATACACTGCGTATCTTTATATTTATTTATTTTTATTTATGTTAAATTAGGTTATTTTAAAAGTTTATTTCAATATGAATGATTTATTTAAAGATTCAACAATTATATTCATATATTATGTTAATATGTAAATTTAAATCCATGATAATATCGTATCCAAGTTGTCTTAAAACAATAAATATAACGTCATTACAATGGAAGTTATTACTTAAAATAAACAATAAAGAAAAAAGATTTTTTACAAAACAAACTGAATAATTCATGAGTCAATTAAAATAATTAACTATCATCATTTTGTAAAAAAACATTTTTTAACAATTTTTTTAACGTGTTAAAGTATTTTATCTAGTGTTCATAAAGCTGTATTTAATGGCGATAAATGTACTCCTTGTCATATTATTCCCATCGATAAGATTGAATATGATCTCTTAAAACCTATTAAATAAAGTAATTTAAATGTTTCATAAACGTCAAAAGGTATTCTCAAGGTTATATACCATCTTCTCTTGTGTAATTTATTTGTTGTTTGCTGCAGAATAAATAACTTTATGTAGTTTTTAAATTTGATTTTGAATGATATATAAATTTGTTATTTTGAAGGGTTGTTTTATTAATATGAATCGCATGAAAGCGAGTTAGTTTTGCACATCACTGCCCAAATATTATTCAATAATAATATAATACCAAATGTTTAGTATCAAAACAATCAATAAAACCTTTATAAAATATTTGGAGTGAAAAATAATGTAAGTCAGGAATATTTAATTTTTAATATATATATATTTTTTTTTTATCAGCGTATTAGCATATAATATTGTGATATAAATGTTGCTGGGGTTTACATGCTCACTGCTCATAGTAAACAATTGTTTAGTATAAGTTAGCAGGTGCATTGATTAAAGTGCGTGTCTGTATTCAATTAAGGCGTACTGAGGATAGAAAGATTATGTGCAAAAGACTATACCAGTGGTTGAAAAGAATGTTTTATTAAACACCCACGAGACATGCTGTCTAGTATGAATTGAAATTTCTACTGGCAAGGTGATGTGCGATGAAAGTATGTACGGGGTTGACGAGTATAATGATGAATAATGCGGTTGAT